AGCTACTAATTTCTGGCAACTTTTGAGCACGTATTTTATGGTTGAAATCGTTAAAGTAGTGATTAAATGTCGGGGAACAAAACGAGTGGCAATGAAACAGCCAAATTAAATTCTTAATCAGGCATAAAATCAGCCATAAACTTGAAAAACGTTTTTTTACTTATCCACCAGTATGGAACACGTCCAGCTAGTTTTACAAAATTTCGTTCAAAAACGCACTACATGTGCTTTGAGTATACTTCCCCTGACATATAATATTTATGTATTTTTACGAGAAATCAAATTCTTCGCGAATTTCCAATTCCTTCACAAAATAAAAAATGTAATAAACAAAACTTTCACTAAAACTAAAAAAAAATCGAGTATCCGGTGTTGCAAACGCAAAATTGTCACCTAAAAAATTATTCATGTCCCACAAAATGTGTTTGCTTTGAACCACATAACTTAAGAAAGTGTGTTAAGTAATCCTAAATGTGATTACTTGAGAGGCGTGGTGTAGATGTCAAAAAAATACATATCGTTGCAGATTTCCTTTTTCGGTTGCTGAACAACATGTAGTATGAGAAATATACCGGTTTTTGCGTACGTCCAAGAACTCTCAGCAGGAGGCCACTACCGAAACCTTATTACCTATTGATACTTGATACAGTTTTAACTTTCATTTACATGAGGTCGCTTGCACTTTGCAATTCATTATTAAAATGGGTTGAGGAATTAGTTCAGTTCGCCAGGAACACAAATGGTCTACAGGGAAAATCGTCGGACGTGATTCAAATAAAACGTGCTTATTTAATAGATCGGCAGTTTTTTTTTTAAATAAAGCTCGCAACATTGTTGCCATGCAAATCGATGAAAAATTATATCTGTGAAAAAAAAACTGTTGATTATTATTTAACGGCTTGCAGCTTGTTTCACTTTTAATCCACTCTTGTTTATGTTTCAACGCCGCTATTACTGAGTACAAGAAACAAGAAATAAATAATGACACAATCCCTGCTGTTGTCAACAATGTGGTTATTGTTTGTTTCTAAAGTTACGCGAAGTAAGTGGTTTACAAATATTCTTCCTACCATTAAGTGCATTAAAAAAAATGAAACAGACATTTGCTCTTTATTTTTTAAATATGCAAGGCAGTTGAAAGTGTTAAGATGTCTAGCACTCATGTGTTGTGTCCTTGTTAAATCTACACAGTGGTGATAAAGATCTGAAGAAAAAATTTTACATACCAAGATAATAACAAACGGCAGGCAAAAACAGTTCTAGAGAACAAATTAAGCTCGCTCTCAACAGTACTTACAATGCTTATATCCGTGTGATCTTATATATTTTTACTTCCCCGGTGTAATAAGGTCATTTGATAAATGACTTTGTGGTTGTCGCAACAAAACACATATTTTTGCATTTAGTGCGCCAAAACAAAAGTATTTCTTTGACAAAACTTTCAAAACTCTGAAAATTTTACTTCAGTTTACGTCACAAATTTGGTGAAGATTTCTCAGACATGATGTTTTTAGCAATTTTATTGGAGAAGACGTCGAATTATAATTACTGAATCATATTAAGCTTCCTGGATTGAAATATTCGCTTTAAATGGTCCGGAAAAATGTCAAACGGGAAGCTGATTTTTGCAGCAGTATAAAAAAAAATTGGTCGAAGTTTATTTTGATAGAACTTCCCCCGCTCCTGAAGTATAACCCAACAAATCTCGCTTCTTTGAAAAATTATATTTTTTTTTTGCGATTTTTGTTTCCTGATAACCTCTATGAAGTTAAAAACCAATGGCGTAAATAACTCTTCCGCAGCTTTTTTGACTTGAATTTTTCAGTTTTCCAGTTTACCAACTTTTGAATTTTTAATCTTTTGATTTTCCAATTTCTCGAATTTTCGGTTTTTAATTTTTCAATGATTCGATTTTATAATTCTTTGTTTTCTCAATTTCAACTTTTTCAGTTTTTCGATTTTCCAACTTTTGTATATTTTCCGCTTTTTAGATTTTGGAATTTTTCGAGTTTTCAAGTTCAAGTTTTAAAAATCTTTGTTTTTTCAATTTCAACTTTTACAATTTTTTGTTTTTTAATTTCTCGATTTGCAATTTTTCATTTTTTTGCTTTTTCATTTTAACGATATGGACCTCTTCGAGTTTTCATTTTTGAATTTTTCAGTTTTTCGATTTTCCAACTTTTGGATATTTTTCGCTTTTTAGATTTTGCAATTTCTCGATTTTTTTGATTCTTCCATTTTTAAACTTTTCAAGTTTAAATTTTTCAGTATTTCAGTTTACCAACTACTGAATTTTTCAATTTCTAATTTTTCAATTTCTCGATTTGCAATATTCCATTTTTTTTTGTATTTTTCAATACGACGGTATGTAACTCTTCAAGTTTTCATTTTTAAATTTTTCAGATTTTCGATTTTCTAACTTTTAGATATTTCTTGCTTTTTAGATTTTGTAATTTTTCTATTTTTTAGTTTTTCAATTTACCAACTTTTGAATTTTTCAATTTTTAGATTTTGCAATTTTTCGATTTAAAATTTCTCGAGTTTTCAGTTTTTAATTTTTCAATGTTAGAATTTTATAATTCTTTGTTTTTTCAATTTTACGATATGTAACTCTTGGAGTTTTCATTTTTAAATTTTTCAGTTTTTCGATTTTTCCACTTTTGTATATTTTTCCCTTTTTTTGGTTTTTCAATGTGAAACTTTCCAATTTTTCAGTTTTTTGACTCAGATTTTTTAATTTTTAGTTTTTTCAAGTTTAGATTGTTTAGTATCTCGATTTTCCAATTTTTCGTTTTTTCAATTTTTGATTTGGAATTTTCTAGATTTAATATGTAATAGTAATTATAATTGATAAAAATTTTCACTTTTTTTCAACTTTACAATTTGAGAATTTATCCATTTTCAATTACATATTAGATTTTAAAACATTTTAATTCATTAGATTTTTCAATTTTTCGACTTTTCAATTTTGACGATTCTATATTTTTTCGACTTTCCAATTTTTGAGTTTTCCAATTCTTCGATTTCGTTCGTTTTTTCTTCTTTCCAAATTTTCGATTCTTTAATTTTCTTAGATTTTTAAGCTTCTCGATCACTTTTTTGATCTTGCAATTTCTCGTTTATTCAGTTTTTCGATTTTTCAACTTTTTGAACCAAAAAAATGGAAAAATTGCACAATTCTAAAATCAAGAACTTGAAAAATTGAAGAAACATACTGTAAAATCAAGAAATTGAAAATTAAAGAAAACGGAAAATTGGATAACTGGGAAATCCAAAAAAAAAGAAAAATTAATAATTAAAAAAAAATAAAGGAAATGAAAAAACGAAAAATGTGATTTAAAATCGAGAAAATGCATAATAAAAGTCAATTATCTGAAAAATTGAGAAAACGACAAATACAAAATCAATTCTAAAATCAAGAATTTGAAAAATTGAGAAACTGAAAAATCGAAAAACTTTAATATCGAAAAATTGCAAAATTGAAAATTTTCCAAAAATTGTAAGATTTAAGTTGAAATAAACATGTATTTAACGTTAAAGTAAATGCAAAGAAGCATGCTATGCGTTTGTTTCAAGTGAGTTTTTCTATTACAAAATTTTGTGATGACATCATCAACATTTTTGCAAGGACACTTGATATACGTGTCCTTGGATAGATGCAGTTTAATATTAATAATATAATCATTCTTGATTTTAATTAATATAAATAAACCACAATTGTAGTCATAATATTTGGATATTTTACAGAACATTCGGCAAAATCTTGAAGTAACGTCATCAATTGTTTGGAAGGGAATAAACGAATACATTTTGATTGACGATTTACCATGATTACGATAATCTTAAAACGTTTGCAAGACTTCAGAGCATTCGGTTTTGCAGTTTCAAAGTTACATTGCAAAACGTTATAGAATTTTGATTTTTTTCCAACAATCTGAATGTTTAGCATAAAAACTGAACACGGATTCATAAACCACATGTGAAGGATTATCTTATTTTATAAAACTGAAATAATATTTACTAATGTAAGTTTTGGAGATGACGTCATTCTAATGATAGTGGGGATGTTTATCCAAATTTTGATTAGTGTTTTTGACAAATCTGATAACAATCGGTTCAGTAGTTTCGGAGATTATCTGGAAACGGAAGACCTATTTTTTCGTACTCTAAGGGCGTGAATCGTCGAAAAGTAAACAGTCGTCCTATGGACTCGATTACAATACTTCTTTAGCTTAAGATTAGGAAGTAAAAAGACTACTACACTCTTAACAACTTTTGGTTGAACAAAAGTGACTCAAACACTCATTTTTCAATAACAAAGAAGCAATGCCTTATTCAAATTCGTAATTATAGATTTCTTACTTAACGAACCTCGATTGTTAAATATATTGAAGAGAAATCTATTCTTTACCACTGGCATTTAACCAGTACAACAATTTATCTTTATTAGATTTAGATTTCTTTACTGGCTTTAAAACAATCTAATTCCTAGCACCTTAATAACCAGAGGTATGGTAAAGAGTACAATTCAGCCTCAAAGAAATGACTGTATAAAATGATAATGACAGGAATTTAGATTTTGGTTTGTCGACCCGTATGTTTCAATTCGTATTAGTAAGGTTAATATGATTCAGTAACCTCAAGTTGAAAGCACTTTCCTTAAGAGATTTTTACGTTAAACTACAATTACGTTCCATCCTTACAGAACTGTAACTAATTTTAATACCACATGTATTTTCAATAATGACCACTCCGACATTTTCCTCAAATAGACCTTTCCTTGGTAAACTGCACTAAAAGGGTACTACTCTCTACTTACGTGACTTCTACTTCTAGTTCTAAAAAGCGTACCAAGCAGAAAAAAAAATAAAAAAAAAACAAGCGTCACTTACTGCACGTCTCGAGACGGCCAGAGCAACTAAATAATAATGGCGGCACTCCTACGTCTGACCGTTGTGTAGTTTGAAGAAATTCCAGAATGAGGTGGTTTTTGGTCGTACCTTATCGGCCACGTCTTTGGAGCTGTTGGTCCACTTAACCGGCGCGCTCGTCTTCCTCATCGTGCCCCTGCTACTCCCAAAGCTATTGTTATTCGACGGCGTCAGCTTCGACAGCGAGTCGCTACTCCTCAGCTTGCTCGAGAGCGAGTCCTTGGCCGAGACGAGCGACCCGTTCCTGGACTTGGGCAGGGACGAGTTGCTCTTGCTGCCTGACAAGCTGTTACCCTCGCTGCGGTTCCTCCACGATTGTGCAGAGTGCGGTCTACCAGGCGACTCGCCGCTACGACTACGTGCACCGGGTGCGGGGCTGTGTTTACCTCCAGGGGGCTTTGGCGCCGTGTAGCTCTTGAGCGGGATCTTGCTGGGCCGCCTCTTCGCCTGACCGTCGCTCTTGCGATTGCTCTCGGCCTGGTCGTGAGCGGACTCCGTGCTGCTGGAGTGGTCCATCTGGAGGTTGAGGGGCAGGGGACTCATGGCCTTCATGCTGGCGGTCGTGATCTCGGTTCGGGAGATGGGGTGGTCGGGGATGACGTCCGGGGAGCTGTTCGTTATGGACTTCTGGAGCTGCTCGAGCATGCGAACCCTCGCCCTGGTACCTTCCAATTCGATGTTTTTGTCTTCGAGCTGGAATAATAATGATAATACAATTGTTTATTATCAAACAGATACTAATCTAATAAGGCATCTAGAACAAACAGCTCATTGCATACAAGAAAACGCTATATAAGTATAGGAACAAATGTACTGATACGAAACAAACAAAATCATCTAAATAGAATTTTCTTACATAAGGATACATATTGTAAAATATTTCAGGATGACTTCAGTGTACAGGGTGATTTCGAAATGTGTGCAACAAAATGGAAAACAGCTCACAGTAAGATTTATTGCACTGTGTAAAGTTCACGTTCCTAATTATCAATGTCTAGACAAAATTATTTGCAATTAAATATACATTGTTATACACGAGTCATGTATCGGTTGCCGTCGTGTGTTCGGTTAACGTTTTTGATATTGATGAATTTCTCCAATTCAGAGCGAGTCGACATGGTAGTGCTTTATAGTGTGGCTGATGGAAACGCCAGGTTGGCTCGCGAATCGTATATTGAGCGCTTTCCAAATCGCGCGATTCCGTATACGTGAACATTTACATCAGTGGTGCAGCATCTCCAAGATCATGGTACCTTCAAGCCTCAAACTCACGATCGTGGGCGTGACAGAACTGAAAGAATACTGCAAGTTGAAGAACAAATTTTGGAACGCGTGGAAGAAAAGCCCCACATCAGCACTCGCCGATTTGCAGCTGAAGTTGGAGTTTCACAGTTTGTAGTGCATCGTATGATGGACGAAGTAGGATTCACGCGCAAAACTGTTTTCAACAGCCACAACACTCACAATTGGTCCGATGAAAATCCACTCGCTCGTCAAGAAGACCTTATGTTTTACCAAACAGACTACACGCGGCACAGTACCTCGAGTTTTTAAACAACGTGTTGGAGAAGCAGCTAGATGTTAAAGCGCCTCTAGGTAAATGAGTTCGCATGTGGTACTTGCAGGATGGAGCACCATCACATTTTGCTAGGCCGGTAACTAAATGGTTAAATAACCATTTTTCTAACCAATGGGTCGGTAGAAACGGCTCAGTAACTTGGCCTCCGCGATCACCCGATCTCAATCCGTATGATTTTTGTCTGTGGTGTTAGATGAAACGGTATGGAAATCAACAGTATCCAGAAACTATCGAAGAGCTTCAACAACGGGTAGAAGTGGCAATGACACTTACTGTAAAAAAGTAGTAGTATTTTAAGTTGCTCTTAGTTTTGTTTTAATAAACAATGTGGAATCGTTGTGGCACAGACCAAACATCCGTCAGAATAAAAAGTCGATCACCTTCTCAGGACCACCATTTCTTTCTACAACGAATAATCTTTCGCATGGTCCTTTAACCATGAATCAATATATGAATGAACGCATGATAAGCAGCAAAAAATCAGTTATTCTTTAACTGACTTATTATATTTTTTATTTCTTCTTCAATAGGAACCTATTTTGTTTGTCTTCTTCTCGCCCAACGTTCTGTTCTTATAATATTCTTTCTATCTCTCTAAGACTTTCTCTTCTGCTGTTATTAGTTCACCTTTCCTACCACTGTATAATAATATTGAGTAATATTGGTACTCCTGTTTTTCTTGTCTTATTCCACTTTAAATGGCTTTAATCTCTTTGTTCTAAAACTTGTCTTCCATTTCGTTTGTTACTTTTTCATTATATTCTCTTTTCTTTTTCTTCAGCATTTTCTTCCATTTTTTCTTTTGTTCTCTATAACCAAATTTCACTTGAATCAGCTCATCGAAATGTATTTCCTAGAATTTTTTGGAGATTTTTAGTCAAGTTTTATATCATTCTGTAGAAGTTGTAATCTCTTCTTGTATTTGTCTTCTATTGCTTGTTTTACTTCTTTATAGAACCATTTCCTTTTTGTTAATCAATCAATATTTGGTTGCTCTACGCTTTCTTCTATCATCTATTTTGCATTGTTACATCTTATTAATATTATTTTTAGTCGCGGTAGAACTTAATTTCTAGTTTATTCGTTCTGAATATATATCTTTTGTTTTCTTCTTGCTTTTCTAGCTTTATCGTTCTCTTACGTTTTTTTTCCATTTCTTTTGTTCTTTCCTACTGGCATGTTTGGACGCATTTGTATTCCAACCATCGAAAAGATACAGGGTTTCTATAAATGATTATAGAGTCGAAGTAGGTCATGAACACGTGCCGCCTCCCATTTTTAGGCCTTACTAAATGCCCAAGGACGCACGACAAATACCACACGCATCTGTATAACTAAATGCTTCATGTCTTTAAAAAATAAAACTAATTCATTACAATAAAAAGAGACAAATTTATTGCGCTTAATAAATTAAATCACAGTAAATGTTGAAAATGTTCTGTAACCCTTCCGTTAATGCCCATTGTGCAATTTAATATTGCAACAGGAACTCCTGACTGCTGAGGACATTTTGTCAAAGATGTCTGCTCAAGTCGTTTCAAATCAACAACTTCCTCAGCTACTGAAGGTCTTCCACGAAATTTCTCTTTGTTGACACTGCCAGTTCGAACAAATCTGTTGATTACATCTCTAATGTGAGCCTGTAACGATGTTTCTGGAATTATTAAATCACGCTATTTGGCCAGATATTCTTGCTTACAAGCGGTTACAGAATACATCCACTCTTCCTTTACGCAGTCCCATTGCAATAACAAGACAATGAAAGTGTCTTGTTTAACAGAATTAACCATTTTCGTACGCAACCAGCAAGAGTTTTGAAAACGACTGTTTTGTTGTTTTGAGCTTGGATCGACGAGAATTACTGTTAATTCACATTTGAAAAACGTTAAAACAAAAACGACAATTTTAAATGACAGGTTACAAATGACAAGTAAGAATTGTTATAATGAGGCATAATTTCAGCAAAGTGGGATTTTTGAAATCCATGGCCAACTATACCCTTAGAATCATTTATAAAAACCCTGTATTAGGTCCTCCTCAGTTTTCAATACTGTTGATTATTCTTTCGTCGCCCATCTGACGCGTTCTATGTATTTTTTCTTTGAAATGTGCTCTTTATTAGCAAACTTTTTTCTTATTACCATTTACGTTTCCTCTTTTTCAATATTTGCACTTACGTCACCAAGGTCTATTTTTAAGTCATAGTAATGTATTTCATCATGTTCTGTATCTTGATCTTATAAAATTCCTCTTCTTCTAGATGTGTATAAATTCATAAAGCTAATTTTTTATAGTAAAGTCCACTATTTTCGATCTCAGCCTTTTGTTAACTAAAAATCTGGTTGATCCTCCTATTCTTGCCACAGCTTCTAAAGAATTTATACTCTATAAATTTCATTTTCAAAGTTTAGCTTATTGTATAGATTTTGCATTCGTTATTTAATTGCTTATTGCTTTATATCCATTTTCACTGACCGTTTTCATTGCCTTTTCTATTGCTATTCGAACCGGACTTTTTTTCTCACTTGCTTGCTTTTTACAGCTGTTTCTAGCTTCTTTTCCTTAATTTTTGCTTCCAATTCCAATTCCATTGACTTCCACTGTCTCCAAGTTTTCTTTGCATTTCTCTCGGTTCCCATGTCATATCAATGTCAAAGTTACTTTCTTTTAATTTCAGAAATTGGATTTTAATCTTTTCAAGCTGTCCATTTTGCTACCACCACCATACCTCTCTTGGTTGTAATAGTCTGAGCTTCTGAATACTTGCCTCTACCGTAACCTTTTTTTAAAGAAATTGTTGCATTCCTTCTAACTCCTTGTCCTTTACCTTGAGGCTTTTTATAACACTATTATTTTTTCTCTTTTTAATATTTTTCTTCTAAAATACTATTTTTTCTCCCATTGCCACCTTTAACCATTTCTAAATAGTCCGCATAAACAAAACTAGGACACTTAGGGCCGGTTGCATAAACGCAAATCAAATTTAATCTCTGATTAAGAACAATTGTAACTATGATAATAACAATCGTTACTATGGAGTTAATCAGAGATTAACTTTGATTTGCGTTTATGCAACCGGCCCTTAAAGTTAGAAAGCGTAGTATTGGTCCTAGGTTAGACCCCTGCAGTACACAATAAACTAACTACGTTGAAACAATAACGACTCAAACAGTTCTACTAAATATCATATAACCAACAAGTGCTAAGTCTAGCAAGAACAACATAAACTTGTTTCTAATAAGAATCCGAACCATTACATACAAATTGCACATATTCACAGAGGTTAGTGCACGTAGATAAAACCATGTTGACTATCGCTAATCATACAAAATACGTGACAATACAGAACACTGGCTAAAATAGAAAATGCGTAACTAACCTGAAATCGAAGCTCATCATTTTCTTCCCTTGCCTTCTCCAGTTTATCCGCTAAGCCGATCTCCACGCGGGACGCCGTGTCAAGTTGTTGGTAGAGGACCTGAAGAAATAATTGAAATTCTCATTAAGAGTTACTCCATATTATAATCACTATGATTATGACGATTTTAAACCGTTTTGGTTCTTTTCATGACGAAAATACAACAATATATTGCTATATGAGGTTCTATTTATAATACCGTGGGAAGGCCACGTGGTATGAACATACAGAGTATTGTCCGCATCATTCTGGAATACAAAGCGTTTGAAGGCGGGCATTTGTGATGCAGCTTTCCCACTGCATGTAGCGCCTTCTGAAAGTACCGTGCGATCGAAAATAAAACGAATTAGAGCTGGTTATGGGGCAATCGTAAAGGTGGTATTACTGCACAACTGACGTATTGCATCATTTTATCACAGGTCCCTGGCCAAAAATTGAGCAAGAGAACTGAGTAAAATTACTTCGCCTTGTTTTTCTTTTCGCCGTACAATGTCAACGTCAATTTATTCTATTTTTGATCGCACGGTACAATTGCTGTATAAACCGGCGGAAGGAATGAAGAGAAAGCAATTAATTAGTCACGTGGTGTACTCTAATACAGAAGATAGTCGATAATGGAGAGTGGATAGTTAAGTTAGAAGTCGTGTGTAGTAGTGTTCACTGTTAACTTTGGGTTTTTTTTATCATTATTACAGAAGCCGTACCAAACCCTGTCGGAAGCAACTAATCTCAGGAGCAGCTCAAAATTAAGACACCACAAGGAAAGATCAGTGTAACCGGAGGAGGATCAGATGAAAAAGAAAAGAGATAGTAAAATTTCGACCTCACTTGATGATTGTAGTTGAACAATGTTGAAAACTAACCGAGATACACGAATTTCGATCTTAATATGGCTTGAAATTCCAGAAACGCGGCAACTGAGGGTTTTGAGACAAGATCTGGAAATTATAGTTGAAGAGAGAAGATATCGAGGAACTTTTGACGCTAGTGATAGCTTGGTTGACGTTAATTCCACAAGGTTTTAGAAAAATGCTAAAGATTTTCAAAGTTCTAGAAAACCCAAAAACTTCAAGATGAAACCAGCGTTGAGGAAATATGTGGGTTGACAAAGAATTCTGAAAATTTAGAACGAATTAGGAACAGTGGCCTAAAACGGGACTTACTTGCAAGGTTCTCCTGTTTACTAACTGTGGCAACACACCCATACTTTTGCTAAGCAAGTTGGGGTTAAGAGACTGAGTATTAAAAGAGTGGGACTTTCAGCAACTATAAATAAAGGAATGTAACCCACATACAGATAAGAACGAGTGTTTTTTCTGGTTGTTGATTAAGCAGCTGTGTTGACAGAGACAGATCAACTCGTAAGTTGTATAAAGCCAGCAATATTACTTGTAGCAGCATAAAAGAAAAAACCGTAAAGTGTTACTGAGACAAATGCGGCAGATACAGTCAAATGACATTTATTTCTGGTTAACTTCTTTATATTTTGAGCCACAGCAGCCATGAACAGTATGACATTGTTTTTGTTCCAAATATTTAGATCAAATTCAGTCAGTTGAACTGATTTTTATAACTTTTTTTTTTTTTTTTTGGTCCCAGCTAAGTATGCGGTTCCGAATATGGACCAGAACTTTGTTATTCTAAAGCAGAAGGACAATATTAAAAATTACAATACTAGAATGCAGCAACGCTCTGAGCTTTAATACGTGACATGTTATGTTCTTTCTCTTTGTTGCGCTTCTCTGAATGGTTAAGATTGTTTCCAGAAGTGTATTGTGTGTAGAAATAGTCATGAATCAGGAATGGAATGTTCAACACTTACAACGCTTACAGTTCCTTCCTGGCTCTTGCAACGTGGGCAGACGCAGAAAATATTAAAATTTTAATTGAATTAATATGGAATTACTTAAAAAAATATACATTTCTGTTGAGGGATAAGGTACGGTTATCTAAGCACTTTTATTATATAGTCTGTTCTACATTAAAAAACAATAAAACAGTAAACAGTTTGCAAAATTTATTCTGAAAATTGTGAAATTTATACCACATTTTTACTTAGTTGAATCTGAATTAGATGAAATACCTTGCACATTTTAATTTTACTTTAGTTAGGTTGTGGGACGACCACATCTTTATCAAAATTAATTTTTAATTAAGTACAAATTATATTCTTATCAAGGCAAACACGTTGCTTGTGACGATTCTTTACGATTTAATCTTTCCTGTATATAGTAAATATACTTGATATCTTGAAATCTTAAGCCTTTTGGGTACATTACTCTACTGATATATTGCAGACAGTTTTAGTATAACGGCATTGGGCTGCCTTGTACCTGCCCGTACTGTTATAATTTATAAGCGATTCTTAACTTTATTATCCTCAATCAATTACAAAACATTGTGTTCAGTTATGTTTATGTTTCAATATTGTTGTCAAGGCAATTGAAAATGCAGCTGGATAATTATACAGTCGGTGACAGGTATAAGTAAACACAAATTACCTTCTCCATAATTTTCATCTTGTCATCCTTAAAATTAAAGTGTTTTGTGTTCGATCAAGCTTTCACTTAGTTTCATGGCCCACCCGGTCCATCGATGTATACTGTCACTGTTACGACAAACAGTAGACAATAAATACATTGGTATAGTAAACCCATACTAAATATTTGCTCTTTATGTGTACTTCTAAGGAGGGTTATCTTCACAGCGGAAACAAGTACGGACCAGTGTAAATAAAAATAAAACAATCTAAAAAACACAAACATAACTCTGGGAACTGCAATACTAGTTTCAATTTGCTATTGTATCTCTCATCTGAATGGAATATTAATACAGGTTTGCTTATTATTTTAACCAGGCTAGGTTACGCATATTATTATACCATTTATTTCATAAAATTGGACAATGGTAGTTTGTATGTTACGTGTGTGTGTGTCTACATCATGCAAATAACTGTCGTAAAACACAATCTCATTTCAGTGGTGTGTGGGTTAAGACAATGCCTCCATTCGAATAATCGTCACAATAGTTCGTGAATTTAATCCACTTACAGAAATTAAAAACCAAAAAAAAATGTGACGGCTCTAAGAACACTAACATATTGTTTGTCAATACTTATATATATAATTTAATTTACAGATTTTCAAAATCACATGATATAAATATTTTTGGGATGATATGTATACAAACCGTTAATATAAGTTTTAGGACACAAACACAATACTTAGCGCCAATTATTATATTTTTCGTTGGTAGGACATAACAAAAAATATTCGTATATATTACCAGACCATTTCCTAGTAATAAATGAATATTCGTCATGTGGAAAATACACAATATGCACAAGGATAAGTGTAAATTCCTTAAAATTGGATAGTTCAAGCATTATTATCAGATTAATCTATTATAGGAATTTATTACAGCAATATTTCAAGTGGCACTTTAATTTCTTATATTTGCTTTACTTTTTTATTAAAGAATAAATAACATTGGTAAATATGGCTCTTAGCACATGTTTTTAGAAGCTAAGTGAATATTGATTTAGCTGTAAACTGTCATTAACAGAACGCAAAGATTAAGGTGAAGGTTTAACCAATTTATACTCTTTTTTTTAAGTATTTTCGGGACCCAGAGTTGATGGTTTACGCGATTTTTCAATTTTCAAACAGAGTAGGTTCCAGTATAATAATATACCATGTATATAATTTTTGTGTAGTTTTACAGAGAATTTCAAGAAAAGTGGAACACTTGGAATTTCAAAAATTAAATGTTTGTAGAGGCCAGTTGGGATATCTATACACTTTACTGATTCAAAAAAATACTGGCTACATATTTTACAAACTGTGTCCACCTGTGCACCTCAAGAATTTTGCCTACTTTTCCCAGACATATTTTACACTTTTATTAATGTTTGCAATTTGTAAATCACCATTTCATTAGGTGCCATAATTCCGATTTCACTAATTTTCATAAAATACCGTACTTTCAATTAACTATCTCGTTACAAAAAATGAATGCCGACTAATTAATAATACACATAAAATTTTGAATATGCTAACAGGATTAGATGAGTCGGCACGACTGGAACTCAACGTTAATAGTAAATGTCTTTAAATGTTCGTCACGTCGGTATTATTAGCTGCTCACGACCACTATCAGCAACACAATAAAAACAGATTCGAGTTTATACCCATCGACTGTTCTTGAAGTGATGCATCATCTTGTGCAATTACATGACCGCAGCGTTATGCAAAGCTCTATCTACCGAACAAATCCTTTTTGAGCCGTTCGAAGTACTCGCTGGTAATTTTTGTTAAATCGAATGGTTCATTTCAACGACAGTCAGGTTCGTCGCTTATTATTATTTCGAAGCGGTGGCGGTGGGAAGACAAAACGAAAGTTGGACAGCTGCGAAAACAATAGCTAATTAAATCCGACAATGTCGTAGAGGGAGTGGTGGTAGTAATCACCTAAGAAGTAATTATTATGTCCTCAGTGAACACGTGGTTCGTGATGACGTACGAAAGTCGAAAGTGATCTGATAAACAATGTATGAGGTTTGTGGAGGATGACATTATTATAGTTTGGCGATAGTGGACTTCATTGTTTCGTCAAGTGAATAGACAGACGTCGGGGTCGTGATTTTTTTGGATATTAATTAAAATATATCGGTCCACATTCTATTTTTCTAGACATCCCGTTTGAATAATTCCAAAAAATATTTGACTATTATTAAACAATACTTCTTTGATGCGTTTTTTGAGAATTTTCCAGAGGGGAATGAATAAATAAAATATAGTACAATCACTTACTATCAATAAACCGTGATTAACATCTTAACAAGTTTCCAGAAAAATGAAATAAATAGAACAACTTGATAAGCAAACTTTTTGGTAATAATTCTCATTTTAAAATCACAATATGAACTTCAAGTGTTAAATATTTACAGAGAAAAAAAACATCACCAAGTTGTCACTGCTGTATTGATATTACGTAACCCTGAGGTAGCATAAAAGTTATAAATAAAGAGGTCCAAGGTATTCTGAAATGCTGAGACCATAAACCAAAAAACTAACAATGACAAACTAAATACCCACAACATAACCTTTTGCAACTTTGTAACTAGATCCCAATACACTCCCGAGAACAAGTTTTTCAGAACAGTACACTCAAAAAATTTCTGAAAATTTTGATAATTTCGATTTTTTTTAATTGACTTGTACACACACATTTTAAATCAGATATTTTATTACAGCGACAAATCGTCACCACGTCTCGTAATTTAATTACTTCAGTATCGTTCAAAAGCCAATAAATTATACACATATTAGTTAACATATCCGTATTTGGTACCAGGGTCAGTGATCAGTTAAGTGGTATACATATATAGTGTCAAACCATCATAGCGGTTAGCGTCACCTCGTTGCTGTCTCCAATTTTCTAGTTTAAAATATGATACCATACACTCATTCGTCACTACACCACGAAACTTGCCATGCCATTTTTTCAAAATGTTAAACTATCACATAATATACTAGTGCAAAACAATTGAAGAACAAACTATGTACTAATTATGTTGTAAACTTGTTTACACCATGGCTCCGTCTCATAATCATATGTCATATGAAAGTGTCATTCACATATAAAACGTTTAATGGAACTTTTTTTTAATTATGTACACTTACATATTTATGTAGTTTCTTTTGCCCATATACTTTTTGTATGTCAAAAAATTTCCTCGCCCCTGAAGTGCAGCCCAACAAATCTCGTTTCTTGGAAAATTTCTAAATTTTTTTTGGCATTTTTGTTTTGTGACAACCCCAATAAACTAAAAACCAGTGGCGTAAATAACACTCCCGCAGGTTTTTTGGCTTTAATTTTTCAATTCTTCAATTTTTAATTTTTTTTGTTTCACTAGTTTTCAATGTTTATTTTTTAACTTTTTGGCTTTGCAATTTTTCGTTTCGGTTTTTTATTTTCGTCATTTTTTCACTTGTTCAATTTTACAATATTTCAATTTTATAATTTTTTGTTTTTAAAATTTTTCAATTTTTCATTTTCACACACATTTTTTCGATTTTTTTCAAATTCAATTTTTTAGATTTTTCAATTTTACGTTTCTTCAATTTTACGATAAGTAACTTTATCAGTTTTCATATTAATATTTTTCACTTTTTCGATTTTCCAACTTTTGGATCTTTCAATTTTTAGTCTCGGGTTTTTATTTTCTCTACTTTTTAAATTTTTAGATTGTTCGTTTTGCAATTTTTCGGTTTTCAAATTTACAATTTCAGAATTTTTTAACTTCTTCAATTATTGGATTTCAAAACTTTTTCATTTATTTGAAATTTTGAATTTTACGATTTTCAATTTTTCGATTATTAAGTTTTCCATTTCTTCAAGTTTTTCGTTTAGCTTTTTTATTTTCTTTATTTTCATAACTTTCGTTTTTTCAATTTCAAGCCTTTCAATTTTTCGTTTTTTCAATTTTTCGATTTGCAGTTTTTCACTTTTTTGTTTCTTCAATTTTACGACATATAACTCATCGAGTTTTCATTTTTAAATTCATCAGTTTATCGATTTCCCAACTTTTGGATCTTTTAATTTTTAGATTTTTCAAATTTTCATGTCGGTTTCTATTTTTTCAGTTTTTGAATTTTTTGATTTACAATTTTTCGGTTTTCAATTTTACAATTTCAGATTTTTTTAAATTCTTCAGTTCTTGAACTTCAAAACTTTTTCATTTATTCGAAATTTTGAAATTTTCGATTCTTGAGTTTTTCATTTCTTCAAATTTTTCGTTTGGGTTTTTGTTTTCATTATTTTCATAATTTTTCAATTTTTTTAATCTTTCGTTTATTCAATTTTTCATTTTTTTTGTTTCTTCAATTTCACGACATGCAAGTCACCGAGTTTTCATTTTTAAATTTTTCAGGTTTTCGATTTTTCAACCTTTGGATATTTCCATTTTTAGAATTTGCAATTTTTCGATCTGTAATTCACGAGGTTTCAATTTTTTGATTCTGGATTTTTTTCGGTTTTTTATTTTCTTTTTTTTAATTTCTCGTTTTTCAATATTCTAATTTTATAATTTGTCTCTTTTTCAATTAGAAATTTTCCAATTTTTCGATATTTCAATGTTACAGTTTTTCGACTTTACAATGTTGACGATTCTACAATTTTTCGATTCGTGTCGAGTTTTTCCAGTTTTTCGGTTTATTTATTTTTTCAAATTTTAAGTTTCTCCATTTTTAATTTTTCAATGTTTCAGTTTTTCGTTTCTTCAGTTCTGCGAATCGCAATTTTTCGATTTTCCACTTATTCGATTGTGCAGTTTTTTTCGTTTTTTCAGTTTTTTTATTTTCCAATTTTTTCCGATGTTTTAGTTTTTCGATATTTCAAATTTTCGCTTCAAAAATGAAAAAACAAATAAGTATAAAATAAAACTTTAATAAGGATAAAAATTGTAAATCAAGAACTTGAAAAATCGAAAAAACGAAAAACTGAAAAATCGAAAAAGTTCAAAATCGAAAAAACGAAATACGTAAATAAAAAATATTGAAAATTACAGAAATCGGAAAATCGGAGAATTGCAAAATTGAAAAATTATAAAATCGAGAAAATAAAAATTAAAAAATCGGAAAAATGAAAAATAAACATCAAGAACTTGAAAAATTGAGGAAACGAAAAATTGAAAAATCGAAAAATTAAAAATTCAAGAAACGAAAATTTATTAAACCGAAACATTACAAAATGGAAAAACTGAAAAATTAAAGAAAATGAAGAAACGAAAAATTGCGAGATCAAAAAATTAGTCGAGGGTGTAAAAAAATCCAGATTTTTCGAAAAATTATAACATTTGATTTTGCGAATTTGACTTTTTCATGCTAACCCTTGTAAGTTAAGATAGTAGATGTGCATGTAATGTTAAAGAAGTGCGTTTGTTTCAAGTGACTTTTTCCACTACAAAATTTTGTGATGACGTTCAGCAACATTTTTGCAAGGACACGTATATTAATTTGGATAGATGCAATGTAATACTAATAATAATACTGTAATCCGAAATTTCCAGGAAAATGGAGTTTGTCGTTCTTAATTGAATTAATACAACAAACTGCCTTATTCATGAATTTTTTTGGGTCACCCTGTATAAATAATTCTACTAAAAACGATGAGTTCATTGATAAACTACAAGAATACAATCATGATGATTGATTATCCAAATTTTGGTTAGCGTTTTGCCATCTACATGATATTCCTAATATAGATACACAATTTGACAGCAATCGATCTAGTAGTTTCGGAGATTATATGTCTAACAAAAATTGATACAGACGCAGACAGATAGAAACGGGAGACCACTTTTTTCATACTCTAGAGGTCATGAAACGTCGAGAAAACATGAAGTGAAATGGTGCCCGATGGACTCGATTACTTCCTTGGCTTACGTTTTGACATTAAAAAGTTTGAAACGGCAGCAATAACAATAACCACGGCATACATTTGGCTCTACTTTTGCATACTAGTCAATTAGTGATTAACTTAGCTTTCACTCATATCGATACTTCAATTAATAAGAGAACTATTGTCTGGCTACAGAATCTGGGACACCCGGTCGTTATCGCGAAAAGCGGAATACTTCAGAGAGCTTGATATAGAACGCTTCATTCATTTAGGACATAGTTTCAATCTCGAAACTCAAATTTCCTATAACTCACCTGATTCTGCACCGTCGATGTCAACAAATGCTTCTGCAAGACCACCGGATCGCTCTCCTTGAGAATGGCTTCGATTTTCTTCGAATCCGGCACTTTAACTTTGGGTATCCTATCACCAAGCACAAGATCCAAAACACCTTTCCCGTGTTTCCTTGGTGTCCTTTGACTAGTCGTTGAGTCTTTCCTACTTAGACTATCACCAGCTAATAGCACCTTGGACTGCTCGCCCTCATCCGGCGAACTATCCCCACTTTTAGTCACGAACTGTAAATGCAAGTCGTGTATGCGAGAATTCACTTCACCCCTTTGCGACACCACCGCCTTCAGCTGCTCCTCCAGGTCGTGCTTGGCCGAAAGGAGATTCTCCAAGTCTTCCTGCAACCGCGACGTGTGCACGCGCCCGGCCAGAACCTCTGCCTCCATCTCGGCCAACCGGTCCAAGAGGAGGTCGCGCTCCTGCCTCAGCTGCCTCACGTCGTCCGCCGACCCCGTGAAGAGCACCCTCTGGAAGTCGCTCTCCTCCACGGTTCCCTGCTCCCGCAGCGCCCCCTGCAGCGCCTCCACCTCGTCTTTCAGCCGGGTGCCCTTCCTGTGGATGACGTCTAAGAGGTTCCACAGCTCGTCTTCGGTCTCGTCGGCGGCCCCCGCGGCGCTCGACGGCGGCGGCGCCGTGGAGGAAGCGCTGTGGGTTTCCTTGCTGGAGGTCTCGGTGCTGAAGCCCGAGTCTTGGACGGCGATGTCGCCGCCCTTTTTGCCGAGCCGAGTTTCGTCTTTGCTCCCGAGTTTCTTCCGCACCCGCACGCCGGGCGTCCAGTCTCCGGGCCGGATCGAGACGGGGATGTTGGACGCGTGGTGCGAGGAAGTCATGGTGGTGGGCGTGGATGAGGCCAGTTTGGTCCGCAGGTTCGGGAATGTCTCGATGACGAGATCGCGGAATTCGAGGAGGGCGCCCACCTCATGCTGCAGTTCTTGGAGGGCGACCAGGGACTTGGCTTGCTCGCTGATGAGATAGTGGAAGGGGCCGGGAGGTTGACGGAGCTGGAGGCAGTCCATACCCTGGCCCACCGCCTCGCCGCCCTGAAAAATTAAAGAAATGGGTTAAATATGGTGTAAGTTAGCTAGAAGAGATGGTTTAGGTCAGGTGGTAAAAACGATTTTAACATAAGACGAAAAATGTTTCGTTATTTCCAGGTTTTTTTAATTAGTTCTAATTATTAGTGGAACATCGAATGGATAAGGTCTCTACATGAATGTTTATTGTCATTGAAGGAAATACTAATACTTAGATTGCTTGTGCTTTCGGGCGAGTAACATAATTTGTAATCGAGTCATCCTTGGAATTGAATCTATGTGTTTTCTCTGAAACCACGTCGTAATTTTTTTTTTCTACTCCCACATAGTAATCCATGAATTGCGAACTGTCTAGCCTCATAGTAAAACCATAGTTACACCCACTGGCATGTAATGAATGAACAGGCACGTAATATATATATATATATATATATATATATATATTACGTGCCTGTTTGAATAGTTTCCATAGCAACTATAAATATTTGCTTTCCTAAAAAAATTTCTTCTGAAAGTGATTCTTCATTATAGATCGTAGAAAAAGTATATGACACAACTCTGGTGGTAAGCTAATTACGAACTCATATTACATCACTCGCTCGCTACGCTCGCTCGTGTATAAACTTCGTTCGTAATTAGCTTCTTACCACCCTCGATATGTAATATACTATTAACATAATCTACATTTTATTAATTTAATACAAACAATGTTTCAACCCTTTGCGTTAAATACATTTGTGAAATGTGAATAAAATATGTATAGGTGGCTTTAACGTTTAAATAATACCTGTTTTTTGTTGTCATGCACCTACTTGAATTGTTCACAGTGTACGTCGATCCTTGGTAGATAACACAACAAATTTCATTGTTTTCCCACCACTGTATTAAATTTGATATTGTTTTTGGTGCATTTGCTTAACTTTTGATAATTTATTGATAAAATTATTATACTGTCAATCAATAGGAATATTTATGCTTTATCTCTCATTATCAACATAGATCAAGATGTACTTGTTTAAAATCTGAAAGCAACATACACTTATCTACAAGATATATTTTTTATAAATTAAAATGACCCCATGCATGGATCAAGATGATGAATATTAAAAACAGGGCGAATATGAACTTTAACTAAAAACTGCAAAGTGACCACGCTGATTTTATCCGCAGTGAACATGAGAAAAGTACGATTCCGATAAAACAGACCTATTAATCATCTGAAATCAAATACGAGGCTTCAATTATCCATGTAACGGTATGGTGGGAGTGGAATGAAAATTTATTATCGTTTGTTTAACATCAATAGGGCGTTTTTCCGCAACGACTAAGCCATGGAACATGTATATTTTTTTCTTTTTTTTATTACGAGGAAAGTCATTACTGTATTCTGTTTGATTACCCTCTCTAAATCAGTAAAACTATCCTAAAGTCCAAGTTATTTGAAATTGCTGGTTGAGTTGGAAAAAATTGGTCGAAGAATCTTTCGACAGAAATTGCCTCGCCCCTGAAGTCTATTCTAACAAATCCTGCTCCTTTGAAAAATCATGAAATTTGATTTTGCGATTTTGGTTCTGTGATAATCTCGATAAATTAAAAACTAGTGGCGTAAATAACACCCCCGCAGCCTCTGCGCCGCGGGGGCACAAATTCCAAGGAGATGCAGTCCGCACAATGCCATGAAATATTAATTTAAAGTAGATAACTGCCGGGAAAAAATGTATTCTCAGTACATGCTCAACTCAACAGTAATTGAGTGTATATGGTAGCGACAGTACTGTTTTGCCGTGCTCTGTAGTTTTGTGGTTATTTGAAAAGAAATTGGCGTTCAATTTTTGTAAAGTTGGTCTTATTCGCAAGATCTTTACGTGGTCTTTTTGACTACATAAGTGGTTCGTCACTGGTGTAATCCCTCTTCACAGAAGGGCCGTTGTAAGTTACGATTTACTGCAATTATCTTATCGTGGCTTGTTTTTACCTCTCACCTTTGTCTAATCAGTGAATTCCCCTTCCGTGGTCCGACTGTCTCGTGTACTAAGTCACCTTGAAAGACCCCAAGGTGCATTTAATTGTGTCCCTGTGGTTGTTCCTCTAATTTTTTGAGAATCTGCCGATATGCCTGCCTCTTGCTTTCATTGTGAAGGCGCTGTAACACCTACCACCCCGTCACTTAAATGTAATGGAGCTTGTAAAAAGCACTTCCACGTAAACTGTTTGAATTTACCCGAACCCGATCTTGTAAAATTTACTGTTAATAAGGATCCATGGAGCTGTTCTAAATGCTTAATAATGACTAACATTACCTCAGCACCTATTACTTTTGCCCAAATGGAACAACTTATGAAAAATCAATTAGATGTACTTAAAGCAGAATTTTTCAATAAAATAGATGACTATTTTGGTAAACTGGATAATAGAGTTTCTGCCGTTGAAAATGATGTCAAATTGTTGAGGAATGAATTAGATACTTTTAAAAACTCTGGGACGTGCAATGTCGATAGCGTTATAGAAGAAATTGAAGATCGTAAGCAAAGAGCATCTAACATCTTATTATTCAACATTAAAGAATCGTCAGCAACAAACGTCGCCGAAAGAGTTGCCGATGACTTTAAAAAAGTTGAAGCCATTTTATCACCTTTAGGAGCATTTCCTAATCCTAAAACAATTGTTCGACTTGGAGTTTCTAAAGATAATCATAATCGTCCAATGAAAATTATTTACAACAATGAAAACGATGCAAAAGAAGTATTAAAGTCCAACAAAAATAACAAAAACCGAAATAACCATTTTTGTCCGGACTTGACGGAAAGACAAAGGAAGCATATAAATGCAGTTAAGAAAGAATTGCAAGACAGGCTTTCGAAAGGAGAAGACTTGGCTTTGAGATATAAACATAACACTCCTTATATAATTAAACGTAATTCTTCTAAAAATGTCCCAAAAAACTAATAAACTGTTACTATCATAATGTTGGGGGAATAAGATCTAAATTAGAGGAATTTTCAATTAATGTCAATAGTTGTGTTTATGATGTCGTAATAATTATAGAATCTTGGTTATGTGAAAAAATACAAAATGAGGAGTTAATGTTACATAATTTTAATATTTACCGTGCAGATCGCAACGAAATTACTAGTGCCAAATCTCGAGGAGGTGGAGTATTGATAGCCATTAACAAATGTTTGAATTCTTCGATTGTATATATTGGTGAGGTTGTTGAAAGTCTTTATGTTTCTCTGAAATTGAACGGTTCAGCTTTCATCATAGCGGGTGTCTATATTCCTCCGAATTCGCACATTAGTGCATATGAATCACATTGTAATGATATGGAAATAGTGTCAGAAAAATTTCCCGATCATAAATTCATAGTTACAGGTGACTTTAATTTACCTGATATTAAATGGACCCAAAACGGTGTTGAAGGACATGGGCATACTGTTCTTAATCAAGACTGCTACGATGTTGTACTTAGTACTTATTCATTTTTAAATTTAACTCAAGTTAATCTAATTCCGAATAATCGAAATACTTTTCTCGATCTAATCTTTACAAGTGTAACTGAAATGAAAATTTACCCTGCAATTGATCCACTAGTAGGGGATAGTATACATCATATTCCTTATTCGTGGTCGATCTGCACCGCTTCAAATCCATCTCTTGAAATAGAATACACTGTATTCGACTTTGCAAATGGTAATTACTTTCTATTTAATGATTATTTAGCTTCTGTGTGTTGGAATACATGCTTTGAAGGTTATGAGCTTGATGAAATGATAGCGATATTTTATGATATTATATATGAAGGTTTAGAAGTTTATATTCCAAAAAAGGTTATAAAAATAAAATCTTCCAAATACCCTCAATGGTTCAGTTCTGAACTGAAAACACTGTGCTACGAAAAAAGGAAAGCACACGCTATATTTAAACAATCGAATGAACTTCAAGATTACGTTTATTTTAAGAGTTTGAGATCAAAATGTAAACTACTATCGAAAAGTCTTTATAGATCGTATGTGGATACTGTCAGCGTTTCCATTATTAACAATCCTAATGTCTTTTGGAAATTTATTCGAGAAAGGAAAGTCCCTAACAATATTCCAGAAGAAATGTCTTATTTAAATAGAGTGGTGAATGGTGGTAAAGAAGTTGCCAATTTGTTCGCAGAATTTTTCTCATCGGTCTATATGGTTAATGATTCTTCTAAGATAATTGATAGTCAATTTAAAGATGAAGTTATTGATACGGGTTTTATAATAACGATTAAGGATATATTTAACACTATTTCTTCGTTGAATGACTCTACAAATGCTGGACCAGACGGTTTAAGCAATGTATTCTTAAAAAAGTGTATATGTACTTTATCAATACCACTATTTATGTTATTCAGCAAGTCCTTGGATACTGGTGTATTTCCTGATGTTTGGAAACTGAGTTATGTTAAACCTATTTTTAAATCTGGTCAAAGGAACAAAGTTGACAACTATAGAGGTGTTTCCAATCAATCGGTTATCCCTAAAATTTTCGATTCCATCATAGCTAAGCAGTTACAGTGGGCAGTTTCAAAATTACTTACTAATCAACAGCATGGTTTTTGTAAAAATAAGTCAACATTATCCAACCTTTTGGAATATTATTCGTTTCTCAATGAATCATTTGCGAATAAATGTCAAGTGGACGCTGTTTATACAGATTTCGCAAAAGCATTTGATCGAGTGGATCACAATGTATTAATTTCAAAGCTTAATAGACTTGGTTTTAGAGAATATTCCATAAAATGGGTTAAATCGTTTCTTACTAATAGGTGGCAACAGGTTAAAATTGGCAACCACATTTCTGATTATTTTGAAGTTACATCTGGAGTACCCCAGGGCTCACATTGTGGTCCAATTTTATTTCTTCTTTTTATAAATGACTTGAGTTATTGTATTAAATCTTCAAAATTTCTATTCTATGCAGATGATCTAAAGATATATAAACAAGTTTCATCCATAACTGATTGTCAGGAATTA